GCAGAGCCCTTGTCTGGAGTCCCACGCGCTGGCGAGGAATGGGCAGTGCTAACTGCGCTTACACCAAGTTTTTGTTTGCTTGCAAAGCGAATTGGGCTCCTCGTGCACACAGGGCAAGGGCAGGTTCCTGTTTTCCCAGCGTTTTATCAGGTGTTGCATGTAAATCCAGCCCCGATGCCGTCAGCGCCGCTGGCTGCAGCCCAGGTKAGCGCAAATACCAGGCAGAAACCAGCCGGGTGCCAACCTGCCCTGCCCAGCAGGAGGGAAGGTAGGAGCAGGCACATCCATGGGGAGGACGCACGGCTGGAGCTGAGGACTGCCACCCCCAGCAAAGAACAACYCACAGCATTTTACAAGGCTGCTCGAGTTTATTAGTTGCATGAAAAGCATTTAAAAAACAATTGTAAAAAGGCTGGTGTGGAAAGTTGGTGGGGTTTTTTGGTTTTTCTTGCTTTTATTGACTTTTTTCCTCCTGCAGCAGCAGCGGCAGCCTGGCCCGTGCAGGGGCTCAGGCCGAGGGCCCTGCGCGGGGCTGGCTGGGCTCGCTCGCGTGGCGCTTCCTGACAGCCCCCGGCCCCAGCTCACAGCCCGGCCCCAGGCTGCAAGAGAGGGGACAGGGGCTCAGGGATGCACCGAGACCACCCTCGCATCCCACCCTTGTCCTCAAGCTGCACTCACCGCTCCGGGGATTCCGACACCGTGGTCATGGCCGGGGCAGGCGTCTTGCCGAAGAAGAAACCGGCCCACCAGTGTCCAGGGTCCGACTTGGGGAGACCTGGGGACAGCGCGCGTTAGCCCCACAGGTTTGCAAAGGCAGTGAAAACGCAAAGCGAGAGGAGAAGGGGTGCCTGGCAGGGCTGGCTCTGCCTCTGGATAACGCACGGGGGGGGTCCCATGTGTAGGACACTCATGGTACCGTATGGAATCCCGATGAACCCACAGCATTCCCGCGGGAATGGGCTCCAGAGGAGCTGCTTCACGGGAAGTGCTGGACTTACCCGGCGGGTGCGGGATGACCTCGCCGGCGTAGTCGGCGCTGCCGCAGGAGCTGTTGCTCGAGGTCGAGCTCAGGCGCCCTGGGGACAAGAGCGGGGCCGTCAGAGCCGCCCACACCAGGAGACCCGGTGCACGTGAGACCCACCGGGCCCAGGCACACGCTGTGCTCCCCTGGCCAGMACTGCCTAGAATTAACTAGAATTTTGCCTAGAATTGCTAAGCCGATAACACCGCAGAGGAACCGCTGGTGAAATTACCAGTGTTGGACACCAGAGAAGCAGGAGTGGAGGAAAAAAACCCTCCCCCTGCAAGGACGCTGCTTAGTGGCCTTCGTTAGCRCGCAGTCCTTGGGAAGGCACCACGGTACCGCAGAGCCGAGAGGCGCAGGCAGCGGCACCGACCCGCACGTAGTCCCTGCGCTTCCAGTCCAGCTGCCACAGCCCGGTGCCAGCTCCAAGCAGTTATTTTCCTTCCTTCCTGTTGCGGAGCCTCCTTAAAGCAGAAGGGCTCYGGGCCTGGCTCTGCAGCCTCTCCCGAGGCCTCTTTTCCCCAGCAAAGCACATTTTTTTCCTCCTTTCCCCAGCAATAGCCCAGCTGCATTTTGAGCCGCCCCCTTGCAGCACCTCCAGCTTCAGGAAGGAGCCCAGCTCTGTGCAGGACCCGGGAGGCCCGAGTTTATCCTCTTTGCAACAGCAGCAGATCCCATCGCCCCCTTCCCCGTGGCAATTCCAGCTGGGCAGCCCCTGGCCAGGGCCGCAGCTCTTACTTCGGTAGTAATTGTGCGTTGCCATAAGGGAGCCGCTCGACGGGATGGCTGCCATGATCCCGGCCTGGGGTCCGGCGCAGACTAAGACCTGTAGGAAGAGAGGCAGGAGTCCAGGCTGGGCCTGCTCGCTCCGGCAGCTCCAGCGGCACTGGAGGGCCTCTACAACAAGTGGGTTGTATCTGCAACCCTTGCAGCGCCGTGCACAGAGCCCGATGCTCCTGGGGCCGCCTGCGGCTTAAGGGCACAGCTGGAGAGCTGGGGCTGCTGCCTAAGCCCGGCTGATGCCCTGAGCACGAAGCGCCGGCGCCGCCGCCCGGGCGCTCGGCTCCATCAACAGCCGCTTACGAAACGGGCTCGGCGCAAGCGCGGGGAGCGGGAGGCCGCGGCGCCCTCCCCGTGCGACCGCCCGCGCCGCTCACGGTGTCGAGGCGCTGGGGCAGCTGCAGCCAGGGCTTTTCCACCCCCTCCGTTAACACCCCTGCTTCCAGCCCTGCAGCACCCGGGAATCCCAGCGGATTCGTCTCCAGCACCGGGAAAGGCCCAGCCAGTGGATGCACCGGATCTGCACTGCACGGATGCGGGGGGACAACAGCCCCACCTTGGGGTCCCCCAAAGGCCTGTGTGGCACCGCGGAGCCACCCCCCACACAAACAACCCCTGCAGTGGGGAGAGGCAGTGGGTGCTGCTGCACCCAGGGCCCTGCACGGTGCTGCCGGCAGGAAGGGCGAGACGGTGCACCCAATGCACCGAGCACCCTGTACAGCAGCAAACGCCCAGCACGGCACCGACCGCCTCCCCTGAGGCCCAGCACCCCCTGGGACCCTGCACCCATTGAGACCCAGCACCCTGTGCAGCACCCAGCACCCGGTTCTGCAGCRAACACCCAGTACAGCACCAAGTGCCCCACTGGGCCCCAGCACCCCATGCAGCACCCGGTGCAGCACCGAGCACCTCCAAGGGCTGCAGCATCCCGTGCAGCACTGAGCACCCCACCAGTGCTGAGCACCCCAATACCCCGCACAGTGCCGAGCACCCCCATGGAGCCCCCAGCACCCTGCGCAGCGCCAAGCACCTCCAACGGCCCCTTGCAATCTATGCAGCCCCAGCACCCCGTGCAGCGCCCCAATGCAGCCCCCCGGTGCAGTGCAACCCCGAGCACCTCCAAAAGCCCCTGCACCCCATGCAACGTGCAGCACCCGCGCAACCCCCGGCCCCTCGAGCGCCCTCCAGCCCCCCACGACCCCCTGCACCCCGTGCGGTCCCCAGCGCCCCACACAGCCCCTGGTCGCCCCATTCGCACCTGGGGGGGGCAGGAGGGGGCGCGGGGCCCGGGGCGGCGGCGCCCGCTGCGCTGCGTGCGCGGGGCCCGGGGCGCTGCCCCCGCCTCCCGCCCGCCCCTTATATCCCCTCGGGCCACGCCCCCGCCGCGCCCGCCGCCAATGGAAGCGCGAGACGTAAGGCCCCGCCCCCATCTGGACTCCGCCCCCTTCCCCGCGCCCGCGGCGGTCTGCGCGCGAAGGGAGGAGCGACGGGAATGACCCGAAACAGGCAAAATAAAACAAAACAGGACCCAAAAGAGGCGGATTAGAGCCCTAGCACAGGCTGCTATTTTATATTTCGGTAGAGTAAAAGATTTAGGAGATTTTGAGCAAAAAATATCCGATCAATATTTAAAATTAATCACATATAGAAAATAAGTAAATGAAGCTTTAAGGGAAACCGGCTGCCTTGGTTCTATTGGATTTATATAGGAAAGCTTTACTGGAGAAGTAAAAAGGCTGCAACAAGGTGCTGCCAGCACTAAAGCCCAACCCCTCGGCACTTGGACAGCGGTGTGGGACACTGTATGAAGAACAAAATGCTGCTAAAATGCCAGAAGCCAATTTACAAAGCACAGAGCCTTGGTGCTGGGATCTCGAGAAAGCTGCCTGCACTAGAGGACTAGGAAAAAAAATAGTAAGTCAAAAATGCAGGTGATGCAGAGCATAAAAACACACCAATGGTTAATGTAATTCCAGAGGCTTTGATGAGGGTGAGCTTGGCGGTGCATTTGCTCGTTAATTCATTAATTTCTCCCTCCAGATGCAGCTGAAGCTTCTGTTCTTAGCCAGATCTTCCTTGCAGCAGCCCCTCATCCCCAGTGATCAGGAGATGAGGCAGCCAGGGCTTTTCCAGTGCAGAAGCTGTGGTTTAATAAGGAAGCAGGAGCCTTCATCCCTCAGAAGAAGAAGAAGAAGAAAACAGCATTTCTTCTTTTCAAGGCAAATGTCTACTGTTTTAAGAAGCAAGAAGGAGGGAAATCGCAGCTTTTGCTCTGGGGACAGATGCTCCAAGAGGTCAGGCTGGTGAGCGTGGGGCATGTAGGGCATCGGGCAGCCTCTCCTGCTGACTTTCACCTCCTGGCAAAAGAAAAGATAAATCTCGTTTATGATGTGAATATTAGCAGAGCTCAGCTGAGCAGGGGCCTGTGGGATGCGGCTTGTCTGTGCCCTGCGGCGCCCTTCGTCCTTCCAGAGCCTCAGTCTTCCCCAATGATCCCGCATCATTCGGCGCTGCCTTTTTGCAAGCCTGAAAAAAGGGGAGGAATCGGGGAGGGCATCAGCAGCCGACCGGGATGCATGGGAACTGTGTCACCCGCCTCTGGGAGCCGTTCCCGAGCCAGATGGACGGAGACAAGGCGCTAAACTTCCAGGCGCCCACGGCTCTGGGCTGGCCGGGGTTTTTCTTTGTGCATCGCCCGCCGTTGGTAGATGCATCAGCAGCGTTTTGCAGGTGCCGGACAAGCAACGYGGGGAAGCGGTTTCCCACCAGCATGGAAATATTGCCCGGCAATCCATGGTCCCTAGGGAGCATTGGCAGCTGATCCAATCCCCCGGGGCCTCCCGGACTGACCGCTGTCACTTTAAGCCTCGCTGGGCACGGGCGGCTCAGCCCAGATTAGCTGGGTCTGGCTCTATCCTTTCCGTGGCCCCGCTATTTATAGCCTGTCGGGCTCGGGTTCATCGTGGAAATCCAGGAACCTGGTTCTTCTCTGTGGAGGTGGGAGATGTGGGGCACAGCTGCCCATCAGGAGCGATGGGAACCGCAGTGCAACGTTGCTGCGGGGCGGGTTAGGCTTGGGACCCGCTTGGGACCTCAGGCTTTGGAGGCTGGTGGGTTAAAACTCCAAGCAGCTCTCACTGCTGGAGGGCAACGGGATAGAAAGGAGGGTCAGGACACCCTGCTCATCTCCCCTGGTTTGCAGGACCCCGAGTTTTGCTCCAGCCTGGCTCCCACTTAGGGCAATTCCCATGTCCTTGYGTAGAAGGTGCCACATCCATGTCGTGCACCAAAGCCGAAAATAAATCCCAAATCTCCATCAGCATTGGGGTCCCACAGTTAATGCCAATGCTCCTACCAAGACCAGCTCAGAGCAGGTCCCTGGCACTTCCTTTAGGAAGTTTCTTTTTAATTTTTTGTGTGGTCATTACCTTCCTTCCTTCCTTCCTTCCTTCCTTCCTTCCTTCCTTCCTTCCTTCCTTCCTTCCTTCCTTCCTTCGAGGAATGCTGTATAAAACCAAGTGATATCTTCACTATCACAGTATATTTCTAAGAAAATATAGGCTCAGAAAAAAAAAATCAAGTGTCCCTTTAAACACTAATGGGAGGTTAATACGAGATTTGACATTTTTGTGTCTTAGAGCAGCAAGGTAACTGCATCTGATTTAGCTGCTAAGGTCACTGAAAGATGGTATAAACCATAACGTTTTGCTGGACTATTGCATAGCTGAATTCCAAGTTATCTTTCTTTTGACCTACACTTGGCCTCAGGGCACAGAAGATTTTGCATTAGCCTTTTAATTGTGCAGCTGACACCGGGCAGGAGTTTTCTGACCRCTGCACGATCCAGTTTTCTGCAAAGGAAATACCACAGCACTGCAGAAGAAGAGATTTCTTGTGGCTTCCTTGTTTTCCCCGAACTGGAACCCCATTTCGTGCTCAATGAAATGGTGTTAACCAGCCCTGGGTACCTGGGCAAGCAGTGCACATGCTGCCTGAACACAGAACCTTGGCTTTATTTGCTCCTYGCTTTGCTGCTCGCTCCTGTGCACATTTGTGGCATTTTTTTTTTTTTTTAATGGCAGATGTGGAATTTAATCGGTCTCCTTTTTTTCCTGACCCGTTTGGGGGGGTTATGGCAGTGGTCACACCCCRGTCAGCTTTGCCCTCTTGTCATGTAAAACCTGGCAAACGGAGGTCCAAGGGCAGCCAACCTGCCCAGGGCTCGGTGGCCACGGAGAGGCGGCAAGAAGCCTGGGATCAGGCCCTTCTGCTCTAAAATCCCTGGGGATGTCACTGTGGGATGGAGCCAGGGCCACCCCGGCCCCCAGCCCCATTTTGCCTGCACCGAGACCCCCTCCCTTCCCTGCCCTGTCTCCCTGCCATGCCATAATCCTCCATCTTCCCTCTCTGCCATCCCTTCGTTTTCCTCCCATGTTTCTACTTCCCATTTTCCTCCCATCCTGGTGTTCAGGCCCACCAGCTCCCTCCTACCCCTCCATCCGCCCATCCCTATTCCTCCCATCCCTCCATCTTCCATCCCTCCATCCTCCCTGCCTCCATCTTCCCTGCCTGCCTCCCTCCCATCCCTCCATCCCTGCACCTCCACCCTCGCTCCGTTGTCCTCCCATCCTTCCCGTTCCTCCCTTTCCCGGCGCCCTCCATCCCTCCGCGCTCCCCGCTCGGCTCGCGGCCCTTTCCCCTCCGCCTCGCCCTGCTCCTCTGCCTCCTCCCACCCTCCTCCTCCTCCTCCTCGTCCCGCCCGGTACCGCATTGCCGTAGTGCGGGGGGGGTCACTGCATTGCGCTGCCGCCGTCAATAGGTGGACCCCCTCCCGGGGACATAAAACCGCCGGAGCCCAAGCTGGCAGCCTCTGCCGCGCCGACCGCCGCTCCGGTAAGAGCTCCGGCCCCCCCGACCCCCCCGGGTCCCTTCGTGTCCCCCCGGGTCCCCCGCGCCTCCTTAGCCGGAGGAGTCGGGTTTTTAGGGAGCTCCCCGCAAAAATCCCCCCCCCCCCCGTGGCCGGGAGGTGCAGGGCTTGGGGGGGTGGGGGGGGA